AAAAAATCAAATGATTATGATGGACACTCTCAATCTCACTGCCCTACCAAGCACCCAACGGAGCCTGTGGCTGAAGAGAAAGAAGCGAGCTCACAAGGAAAAGAACGCCATACTGAACCATATGGAGATTGGCTGATAGCTAAGAAACGTAGTTGGCGCCCAAACAAGAATTCCCAGGCAAGGACAGAAAGATATGAGGAAGGAAATGGAAGAGGTTATGGAAGTAAATCAGGCTCAAGATTCGCAGTTCTAGTTGATGACGAGGAGCCCTATACAGCGGAGACTCCGGCCAAGGACAACAGCAGGCAGAATGCAATTCTATAGTGCCCAAACAAGCAAGCCAAAGTCCTCCCCCCAGCCCCAAAACACCCAAAAGAAAACCACAGCTAAGACGGGTTGACATAATTTTTTTGCTGACTAGGGAATCTGGGATTCGCCAATCTCCTTGGTCTACAGCAATATTAATCAAATGCGAGAGTCGCTCGCCTCTTGTGATTGAGGTGCACGAGGGAAGTCTTCATGTCCGATTAGGAAAAGCGGATTGAGATTACTAATGACGTCCTTTGTCTCTGTGCCTACTATGAGGTGTGTATATGCGTTATCAGGTGTATACTAAAAGTATTCATGTGTTTTGTTGGTATGTCTAAGGGAGATACCTAAGAAAGGAAAGAAGAATTTGAAAGAAATAGGTCTAATATTGATTCATCGTTCTCTAGTTTTTTTTATGATCTGGTGAGAATACTTGGACCTTCGAAAGCCCAGCATAAAGCACCATCAACGACAAATATCTTACGTTAATACCGCGCGATCGGCCGATCGTTCCCCTTCTTCTGGGAAAAGTAGCAAAGAGTATTTCCCTGTAAGGAAGTAAGTGGCATGTCAAAAACATGAAAGAAGAGAAAAGAGAAGAAAGAAGACCGTTCTCGCCTTCTGGATATCGTAAGAAAGGAAATTCCGAGGGCGACGCTGGCGCTAACCAATCGTGGACATGGCCCGGTAATGATATTTAAAAAGTAGAAATCCAGATATGAGATAGAGCACAGCTGAATGCCAAAGCTGACTCTGACTCCGTTCTTGCCTTAAGACAGGTAAGATTCCGGAGTCGATCCCAAACCTACGTCCTAGGAAATGCACCTCTCACGAGGGTCGAACTCACACTTTACTTTCCAGTGCATATGCAAGCGTCGAGCAATAACTCGATACGGGAATGATCTGCCCAAAACTTTGACTATTAACGCTGATCTGCGAAACAACGAATTATTTTTGCCATGCAACGTAGCTACATTGCAGAACAAGCATGGATAATATGATGCCACGCGGAACAACGAAAAATATTGTTTCAGCCATGAAACAAGTAAGATGCTGGATCTGTGAAAGGGCGGGGACAGCCCCCGATATCTACACTCCGACGATCAACATTAGTGTTGTGATAGGAAACTGGGAGAACTTAGGTAGAGAAAGAAATTGTAGAATGTAGAGAGATAAGTGATATGTCAAAAATGAGTAGAAGAGACGGAGACCCCCTTACTTGGAAGACCTAAGAGCATATTTATAGGTAAAGTCTTTTGACACTTTGTTGGGCTTTAGTTGGGCCTTTGTGGTGTTTCGTAGGGTTTGGTCCATATATGCTCAGCGGACTGTATTTACTATGCGTGCTGGGTTATACCGTATCTACACCCCCAACAATTGTCCCCCAGTTAGGTATTCAGTGGTACACTGGATGCCTAACTACAAGTCTTCATGTTGTCAAACTTTTGTAGTCTCTGCATTTGGCGTATGATGTGCATGCGCCTCTTTATAATCTACTGGTTGACTCATGTCCCCCAACACGTGCTGATTGAATAGGTTACAACAAAGACTATGCAAAGACTGAGCAATATAGCATAATATGACTCATAGCATGGTTAGTGACAGAATTACATATTGCACTTCCCATGCCTAACAAGGTTATGTCATTTTCGGCGCATAATTGAAGATTTTTTGCCTTAGAAAAATCTTGAACATGCATGCCCATGTTATCCCCAATTGTCCCCCAGTTAGGCGCCCAGTGGTGCACTGGACGGCTAACTAAAGTCCTTCCACTTGTCAAGTTTCACATAAGATCCTTTGGTGTTTGGTCCCCCATTACCATATTCGTTACATAGTGAGGATCACAAATATACTAAGTGATGCAGCATAATTTAATTAATACAATAACAAGGGATATAATTCAAGTAGGGATATAAATGACTTAGCTTATTTTTTGACATGACTCATTGGAGCTAGAATTGGAGTGCCTCAATAGTTGTCCCCCATTGACTTCTTTCGAGCTCAAAATTCAAACATGGCCGTTTAAATACAAAAATAAAAGCGCATGAGCTCAGAGTCTGTCTCAATGCAGCGGCAACCTATATGGTTAGGCGCTTGGATTTCTGGGCGCAATTTGAGACAAATGAGAGGCACTCCTCAAGTGGCAAATATTCTTTTTCTGACACTTGGTATATTTGCACGCATGGTCCCATCCTCTTTTTTATAGCAGATTGAATTAGGCGCCTCTCATTTCCACCATGGGTAGTTTTGGGCTCATGGAATCAGGCGCCTTCCATCCATGAAGTGTTCATCACTTCATCGATCAGACCTTGCCACAATTTAATTTTAGGGAAAAAAGAAGAGAAACACAAGGTTGGGCGCCTTCCATCCAAGATCAAGAGAGATTTATTTTAATGAGCAATTTAGCCATAATCGAATCGATTGTGTGGAGAGTATTTGCCAATCAAGGGTGCAATATTTGGGCGCATAGAGTAATTTCTACCAATGATGTTATGTTTGGGTGCATAGAGAATTTTTCGACCACGAGTATTTGGACGCGGAGAGTAGTTCCAATCAAGTGCGCTCTAGTTGGGAACATAGAGAATTTTTTACCACGGGCGTTATATTTGTACGCGGAGAGTAGTTTCAATCAAGGGCGCTATAGTTGGGCGCGAAGAGCAGTTCCAACCAAGAGCACTATAGTTGGGCGCATAGAGAATTTTTGACCACGAGCGTTATATTTGTACGCGGAGAGTAGTTTCAACCAAAGGCGCTATAGTTGGGCGCGGAGAGTAGTTCCAACCAAGGGCACTATAGTTGGGCGCATAGAGAATTTTTGACCACGGGAGAGTAGTTTCAACCAAAGGCGCTATAGTTGGGCGCAGAGAGTAGTTCCAACCAAGGGCACTATAGTTGTGCGCATAGAGAATTTTTGACCACGGGCGTTATATTTGGACGCGGAGAGTAGTTTCAACCAAGGGCGCTGTAGTTGGGCGCGGAGAGTATTTCAAATAATTGGCACGAATAATAGATCGAAACAAGAGAAATATCATGGACATAAATTTAAAACTTAAAGACAAGCAGGGTACTTAGCTGTGTCAAGTTAGGCCCATGGACCATGGTGACGCTTGTTAATAATGGACGCCCAAAATGAGATGACAAGTGCATTGTTGTACTCCATTGATGAAGGCAGTAGCTTTTATTGACAACAAGGTCAACTCTGAACTTCAAATGTGAGTTGACCAAGTAGAAGACGCCACCACCTCTGTGTGTGTCCGGGCAAAAGGCGTGCTCCCATTACCCACTCAAACGCCCTCTTTGCTCCCGCAATATCTCTATAAAATCAACCCGTTCAAGAAAAAGTGGATCTGGTTTTACTTTCCCAACCCACTATATCATAACGGGGATCTTGACTTGTAGCCGATGTACAGGGGGTAGGAGGGCAGAGGGTTCTTCCCCTCCTTACTTGCACGACTTCTCCCGACCTCAAAAAAGTTGAGATGGATCTTTCTCCGTATATGACCGAGGATGGGTAGATCTGGTTTCTCTTTCCTCTTGCTAGAAGAGATCGAACAAACAAAACTATAATCACACCTGGGCTGGCCGGCTGAGGAAGAAGATGCTAATGAATTAGATTTGGGCTGGCAGGGCTCCTCTTCATTCAATGACTCAAAAAATTAAAGGACTCAAAAATCAAAAGCGAATCTGGGACAGTAAGAATGGGTTGGGAAAATGAAATGGGTTCTTAGTTGAGAAGAAGCTACGAGGAGCAAAATGGGAGAGACAAAAGTTGGAAGTGAAGGGAAGATGGAATTATCAATGGCGGATAGAGTTGGATCTACACTTTGCTCAAAATTACCCATAAAAAACGAAGCTGAAAATCTCTCTCGCTCTTTTTAATCGACGGACGCCCTCTCTTTCTAGAACAAAACAAACTATTGTCTTTCGACCCCTTCCTGGCACGCCAATTGTTTCAGCCATGAAACAAGTAAGATGCTGGATCTGTGAAAGGGCGGGGACAGCCCCCGATATCTACACTCCGACGATCAACATTAGTGTTGTGATAGGAAACTGGGAGAACTTAGGTAGAGAAAGAAATTGTAGAATGTAGAGAGATAAATGATATGTCAAAAATGAGTAGAAGAGAAGGAGACCCCCTTACTTGGAAGACCTAAGAGCATATTTATAGGTAAAGTCTTTTGACACTTTGTTGGGCTTTAGTTGGGCCTTTGTGGTGTTTCGTAGGGTTTGGTCCATATATGCTCAGCGGACTATATTTACTATGCGTGCTGGATTATAGTATTATACCATATCTACACCCCCAACAAATATAATTCTCCATAACATTTTTCTCTTTTTGTGGTAACTGGGAACGTCGCCAGCCAACGGATTAGGGCTGCTAGCCGGTTTTGAAAATAAAAACCAGTTAGTTTTTAGAAATAGTTTTAGAACCCCACCACACCCAGCACAGAATAAATTTATTTTGTAAATGTCTACTTGCTGTATTTATGTAGAAAACAAAAACCCTCTTCTGGAATATATTTTCTCTGACGAACAAACCCGCCTGCCAAGTCCAACTACGCGACGCGCGTAACCCAAATGTCTTGGTCAATGCGCCAAATCAAAGCTCGCTCCTTCGTAGTCATTGCCGATCGACCATTTCAGTCCGTATTTAAGCCGAGTGAGATCGATTCAGATTTCAGAGAGACCACCAATCATCATATCATATCTGTATTCCTGATGAAGAAAATGATCAACAGGATTCTCCTCCTCATAGTTAGCCTGATTGTGATACTACTTTTCATGGGTGCTCCTCAACCTGCATTGGCTAGCCGACCACTATTATTCCAACGTGATTTGATGTCCCCCGACGAGGAAGAACGTGGTAAGTTACCTCGATCATCTCTCTCTTTAGTTATCGTAATAGTACGTACTCAACCGTTCATTTCCGCGAACTTTTTTCATGAAAAAGAGTCGCATTATGAAAGTGATCCAATCAATACGTTCATACATTAATAAAAATTTGTGCTACGATATATGATGAGATCGTCTCATTGTAATCTCGTTCAAATTCAAATCCAACCACTGGCATCATGCTTTAGGTTATCCAACAATATCAACTTGTACTTTACAGCCCTTATTAGCATGCTAATTAAGAGTAATGGTGTGGTTTAATTTGATCAATTTTCCAGGGATGGCTGTCCGCAGCAAATCGGCAAGAGGAAAGCATGGATGAGATGAAATTCTGGAGGAGATTTATGGTGCATTGGAAGTGGAAATGCGGTGTCTACCTGTTTTTGTTTTTTTGTTTTTATTGACAGTACAAAATGTATTTAATTTGTTCCCTTTTATCACCACAATTGCAACTAGCATGATCATTAAGATTCTTGTAATTTGCACCATATGAGTGTAGTAGGCTAGTAGCTAGTGATCAGTAATTGGAAAAAATTGGTCCAGACCTATACAGTCAATAAATCATTTATAGTGTTTCATTTCTCTCCAGTGTGTTAAGCTTGGTAAATGGTATATATCTATGATTGAACCTCTCCCAACAACTCGAGTTGTTGGGACCCACTTGTTCTTGACATGATATCAGAGTCTTCTGTGACCGTGAGGTCTTCTGTTCGATTCCCGGTGACCCCCATCTATTTCTGTTAAGCACACGGTGTCCGGACCTGTGTCTGTGATCCAAACTCCAAGCCTATCTGAATGGCTTGAGTTTGAAGGGGGTGTTGGTAAATGGTATATGATCCACGATTGAACCTCTCCCAACAACTCGAATTATTGGGACTAACTGGTTCTTGACAAAGCAATGGCAGCTATGATGCATTCTTGTACCTTTTCCGATATTAATTTCAGTTATTTGGATCAATCGCACCTTAACAAACATCAATTTCTGTAGTAACCATTGATTTAACCGCGTGGTATGAAGGTCGCTTGCCAATCAACTCAGAATCTCCTATCAACGGAGTCATTTTGCACCTCGATGTCGACTCATATCATATCCTGAGAAGAATTCCTAACTGTTACATGTACCATTATCATGAAATCTGCTCAAGGCCCTAAATAAAAATTTATGAGTCCACCACTGTCTTGAGTATTTTTTCTATTAATTTAAGCACTTCACTGGAGGTCGCCGACATCTTCTCTCCTGGACTTCCACATGTTGAAGATGAAGAATAAATTCAATTACGCACCAATCCTGACCAAATTGATCAGTAAAACACAAACTGCACATGCATGCATGGAATGGAAGGAAATTAGCTAGTGATGTCATTGGAAGTTTCCCCGCGATGGCCTAGAAAACTTTGTGTTGCCTTGCCCTTGATGGCACCAAATAAACGCGCCTTACTGAAGTTGGAATGAGTAAGCGGGGGTGTCGTTTTGGCTGTCCAGTCAAAGTCCCACTTTCCTAGTTAGGTTTGTAGCAAAGAAAAGTCAGAATCTCATCAAATCTATGCGCCATGCCCATGCCAAAAAGAAAAAAGGAAGAAGAAAAAAGGAAAATGAAAGCTTGGAACTCTACCGTCCACTTGCAACCAAATTCCCAGTTAGGCAGTTACTACCAAAACCATTTCCATCCTCTACAATAAGCGAGTCATCTCGGTTTCGGCCCTGCCCACCGCCGCGAGCAATCTCAATCTTGTGATTCACTGTGATGGATCATCTTCTAATGATCTCCAGGTGGCAGCTTAAGCCTTATGGCGTTGCTCATTCAATCGCCATGGTCTTGTCTGTTTCGGTTGAGTTGAAACCATGCTTTTGTTGCCGCTTTGTTGGTAGTGGAAGCGCAAGAGATGTTTGATGTCTATCACTCTGCTGTTTTGGCTCCTGTGATGGCCTCTTTTGCTGGTTTGTTCAATCGTTCTTGTGGCTCTCTTTCGGTTGGGATTGTGCTTCCGGTCATTAGAGTTCCATTTTTCTTGGTGTAATCAACCTCTTGTAACCGTTATTTTCAGAGTTCAATATGAGCGGATTCACATTGTAAAAAAAAAAATATACAATAAGGGAGTCATTTCAGATGCCATTTGGTCAACAATTGTAAAATAAGGGAAGAGGCCATGCCGGCCGGTAGGTAGGCTGTTCCCGTCCAAGTCCCATACCCTACAAAACGCAATTATAGTCCAAGTCCAAAGGCGTCTTCATCTGGATGGAGCAACTAGCTAGCTAGTGAACAACTGCCAATTACGATTTACGACCCTTCAAAGTGGTGGTCAATGGCGGCTGATCATCAGCTCGATCGCACGCAGCTTCGTAATCACAGCTACTGCAATTAAATCAATTCAGTACTTGCTATATATATATAAAGCCAGGAAGAATAGATCAATATGCTCCATCAAGAATATATTATGAAGAAGATTATTCTGCTCCGTGTTCTGCTGATAAGCCTGGCCATCATACTTGCTATGGGAGCTCAACCTGCCTTTGCCCGTCGAACACTTCTCCAGCGTGGTCAGTTTCCCTAGCTAGCTCATCATCTCTCTCTGTCATTCTTTCTGTATACATACAATCTCTTCTAAGAGAGAAATTCTCAGAGAGCACGTACGTACAAGGATTCATTTGCTTACAGTGTCGTGGGGTTTGCTGCTGTGTTATTTTTCAGGGCCGGCTGTTGGGAGCAGATCGATACCGGGAAAGCATGGATGAGATGAGAGCCGGGACTCAAATCTGCTTCGATCTCTAGTAGTGAAGATCACTTATTGGAGTGGGAAAAATTGTCGACCATACACGTAGTAGTTGCTCGTCACAATCTCACAAGGCCTCAATAATTTACCCTTTTTTTTCGCTAGTGACACCTGTCGTTTTATTTATTTATTATTAATTGGAAGTTGGAGCACATCCGGTTACTATTGGTTGATTACTTAACATACATAAAATTACATTCACTTTCATGTATTTTGTAAAAAAGATTGAGACATATATTACTGGTATATATTCCATGATATTATGATATCCTAGCGTAGAATAATTTTATAGTGTATACATATGATAGTAGGTATATACTACGTACCTATCATCTACCACCTTTCACCACCAGATACCACACTATATCAGGGTGTTATAGAGTGATATATTTGATCGTGAATTTTTGCCCAAAATTTGGAGATCACAATAAATAGCGATGATTTTCCTTATGTGCAAAAAGTTTCAATTTTTTTTTTGAAAACTAAGGTGGTACCAGAGTGGTAACGAATAGTGATGGATGGTACAAAATATATTATTTCAAAATATATAAAAAATAAATATTATTTTGTAGATTATAATGGACCCGTAACATCTGTGAAAAAAAAATCGAGGTAAACAAAGGAGATGTAAGCCGATTAAAAATATAAACTTTAAATCTCACATTTCAAATATGGTCTCATTCTGTGGTAAACAATAATGAAATATAGTAAATACAGTGAGTATATTCCTACTATCATGTATGCAACAATTATACACTCTGATATGTTCATACCATCATGTTATACTTCAATACTACATGGTATGATCTTATGTAAAACCAAACATTACAACCATGGTATAGACTAGTAACAAATGTCTTAATTTTTTTTTTTTTCAAATTGTATTAAACTTAATATCATTTTTAAAAGCACAATTATTTTGAATTATCTGTGAAAAAAATGTACAACTAAAAATAAAATAGAATTGCTCTTTAAAATTTAAAGAAAAAAAATTAAAAGTGATGTGACAAGTTATACATGATTGTATACAAGTAGATCCATTTCCGATAACTAAACTAAAATGTCAAAGTTGTCAACGGAGATGGCAAGAGTCAGTTTGTTTTATCCGTGACATTTTCAGGTAACTTCGCCAATGGATTGGCGCTACCGGCATTGATTTTCAAAACCGGTTAGTTTTAGGAAAATATATATGAAGGCCCCCAGTGAAAATAAAATCATTTTTACTTTAGGGTGATATCTACACCCTGAATTATGCATTCTTTTATACATTTTTATTATGTTTGATGTGAAAATTATTCATTTACTATATGAATATCATGTTCATCTATTAAGTTTTTCATTCGATTCATGTTTTACCTATAGTTTATCCATTCAGCACATGATAGCGGAGGAAGAGGTGGTGCATTGGAGTGTGTTGCTCTAGTTCTTGTGGAAAGAACGAAATGCTTAGTTATTCAACGACGACGAAATTGCGTTTCGAGCGAAGTATATCTGGAAGACTATATTGCTCATCAAGTGAAGGAAGTGGGCGAGTTGCCAAAGCAAACTACAGCTTGTTGGCAATGCCCGTCGGGCGGGACGAGCTAGTTATGGTGAATACGGATGCTGATGGTTTTCCCTTATGATGGTATTGGTTTGGCAGTTGTTATGCGAGATAACAAGGTTCACTTCCTAATGGCGGCAACAAAGAGGGTAATGGTGTTTGGGAACATATGATAGGAGAAATATATGTAGTATCATTTACCACATTCATCATTATTTACCACCAAATATCATCCTTATACCAAGGCGGTATAGAGTGATACATTTATCCTGTATTTTTTTCATAAACTTGTAGATTGAAATCACGATGAACTCGTTCCATCTGTGTAAAAAATTTCTAAATTCGAGCTAAAAAATTTCTACTCAATACTCATACCACTTTAGTATGAATTATTTTTTTTACGAAATATAGTGAATATGGATCTCATTTTGTAGATCACAACGAACTCGTTTCATCTATGAAAAAAATAAATTAAATTCAAGTTAGTTAGAAGAAGATAAATGTCACATGGTATGGAATTGTACCATGGTAGTATGAACAAATCAGAGTGTTGACACACTGTTAGGGGTGATCCAAACGAACCAAATACACGGTTGATTATGTCCTTGATTCTAAGATATATTTTATTATTGGACCACAGTTCTCCTAAGTTTGGTCCGATCTAGTCAGGACCGAACCGTTATCCACCCCTAGACACGGTATGATATTAACCTTTTTATTAAAAATGTAGTAGGAAAAATGACCCCTCTTCTGGAATAGATTTTCTCTAATGAGCAAAGCAACTAACCACCCAAAATGACTTCGTCAATACCTAACTAATAATTAAGCTCGCAGCTTCGTAGTGATTGCAATCAATTTCAGTACTATTTAACCCCAGTGAGATCAGAGAGAGATGACCTATCCATATGTTGAATTTGAATAATCGTGAATATTACAACCGCCTTTGTGATGAAGATTTTCAATAAGATTCTGCTCCGTCTTCTGCTGCTGAGCCTGATTCTGATACTCGTTATGGTGGGAACTCAACCTACCTTTGCCCGCCGACCACTTCTCCAACGTGGTCTGCTCCAGCTGTCCCCTGGTGAAGACAAACGAGGTAAGCTCCCTCGATCGTCTCTCTAATAATTACTACCGTAAGAACGAACCATCTATTTCCCTGAATATTCTAGGTAATTTATGGGC